TGGGCGACCCAGGATCCCTGAGCAGTTATGTATTATATTATATTATTATTATTATTATTATTATTATTATTATTATTTGTATTTTGGTATTGCTGCTGCTCTCCTCCATGATTGTAGATGTGAGTGTGTGTGTTTATGTCTGCGGGGATGCTTGGAGGATGGAGCTCAGCCACCTGCAGGCCTGAGGGGTGTGGCCCTGCGGAAGGACTGGCCACACCCGAAGCCACACACCTGCCGCTGATCAGGGCTCGTCGAGGGAGCTACTTAGGAGAGTCTTGGAGCTCCCACCGACGCGGGATCATTGCTTGGGACTCCACGTTAGTTACCCAGTTTAGGTTTTGGTCGTGTAGTGTACGCCTGCCATTGTTCAGTGTCCTGACTGCTGCCGCTATTGTTTCCCGCAGGAGGAGCGTGGAAGGCTTAAGGAGCAGCGAGCACCGGGAGTGCAGACACGGGAGCAGAGAGCACTTGGAGGACACGACACGGGAGTCTGGGGAGAAACACGGGGATTTATTGTTGTTTGATATCACCCTCTGTAAATAAACACTGTCTATACGTAGAGCACCGCGCCTGGGTCCTCCTTCCCCACACCTTCCACGGTGTGCCATGCCGCACCGTGACAGAGATGCAGACTGTGGGCTGCAGCGTTCTGGAGAAACCACTCGTCCACGGTGCTACAGGAGTAACTGTCTGCTTCTTTTTCTCCAACAGCCACACGAGCCAACAGGAAGGGTAACAAGCACCGAGGGACCAGCACTGGTTCAAAATGAAGCACCTTTTGAAGGTGTCATCTTTAAAAGCGTGGTTCTATCTGACTGGTCATCAACTGTTGACTAAATGATGTTACAGAAAAAGAGAATCATGCTGGAATTACCAACTTTACTCGTCACCTGACAAACACACTGTTGTCTGGCTGTGTTTGAAATCAGCTAAGTTGCTGTGGGAGGCTCAGTCAGTGCAGGCATCCTGCACCAGCGTTGATGTTTAACAGGCTGCGAATGCTTAGACCGCCGCATCGCCGCCACAGTAAACACGTCCGCTTCTCTGTGATGTCAGCAGCTTCTGACAAAACAACACTGTGTGATGTTCTGTTAATGAGAAGACCTGAAACCACCTCGTTTGAAAAGATAAGCAGGACTCTTCTAGTCTGAAGGTATTTTTCCAAATAAAATGAACTGCAGACTGTGATTCTGCTGCTTTACAATCTTTGCTTTTTAGTGCTTCTTACAGATTCGAAGCTGCTTCAAAATCCAAATGGCACAAATTAAAACACCCTGCTGTCTCTTAAATTCATTCCTCATTCATTCCTCGTCACAACATATTCCACACCGAGGCTATGAAAGTCAATTATCTTCTAATTCTCGGTCTTAAATCTCTTTGCCATCAAGTTGGTAGTGACTTTTCTATCACATTATATTTGTTTCCCCGCCGCCCTCTCTGTATTACCCCCCACGTCTCTCTCTGATTGGCCCATCCTTCAGTGGATCAAACGCAGCTTAATCTGCCTCTTCTGCCACATTATCTATCTTCAGTTTGGGGCTAAAAACCCAATCATCCTCTCTGCATTCCCTGTCATGCCTCCCTCGGCGTTCGCCCCATCCCTCATAGGTTCAAATCCCAAGATTACACGGGCGCCGTTTGTCACATCATCTATCTCCACCTTAAAAAACGCAATCATCCCCCCTCCTCTCTCTCTGCAATCCCCGTCATTCTTCCCCAGGTGATCGTCTCATCCCTCACTACCTAACAGGAGCCATTCATCATCAGCGGGTGTCGCAGGCTCGTCGCTTAAAAAGCGGAGAACGTCGTTAGCGTCTGCTAATGTGTGTAACGCGTCGCACGGGGGAGACATGATGGGACGGAGCGGAAAGATGAACGACTTAAATTTAGAGTTTCCTCCACGCTAAAAGTGGAGTGTTTGTTCTGTAATGCACTTGGCGGCAGAGAAAATCATTAGCCTCTGCTGCACTCGCAGCGGCGCTCTGTCATATTTAACAAAAGAGGAAAAGATGCTTCCCGCATATTTCTGTCTTCAGCTCCACAGTAAAGCAAATGGATGCTGAGCACTGAGCGGCCGCCGTCTCTTTTCCTTCCTGGGAAACTGTCTCAGGTGTAATGAGCTGCAGAGATCTCCGGGGTTGGGTTAGGGAGAAAGTACGCCTTCCTATTTTTCATCTAAATACTTGTTAATGAAGGCAAAGTTGCAACGAAAAGCAAAACTGGAAGCGCACACCTAATTTCTAATAAAGGTTCGGCTCCAGTATTTTGAATCTAGCACTGACAGAGACTTTTCTATCTTGTTACATATTTCATCAAATCAATCAACGTTTTATCTTGTGCAGTGATTTAAACTTTACAATATAATTGAACCCTCTCTTTGCCCGTGTTGGCAGGAAGAAAAACGCCCCCTCAATCATTCAGCTTCCGGCAACATTTTCTTGAGCGTCCTGAACAAGATGAATGGCGAACACTTTGCTGCTCGGCTTAAATTGTTGTGTTTGTTTCACAGTAATGAGACTTTAAGAAAGCGACAGCCGCTGTGGGCAGAAATGCATCTCTCATCCTCAACTCACCCACAACAGATTCTCCCTCTCAGGAGGCACAAACACCCGAGACACCAGCACCTCGTTATGGGTCCCATTAGCAAACTTTTCCCAATCAGTGAAGTCGTTTCCACGTTTGATCCTGAAAATGCTCACTTTTTTGCACCCTTGTGGTTGTGAACATGACATTGACATTTCCACTATCTTTTAATTGCAAACCACAGCGCTGCTTTGTTCTGGCCTGTCTCCTGGTCCTCGCTGACCCTCAACACCTCCAGGATTGGAGGATTTTCTATCTCCCAGAATCTTTTTGGCCTTTCAGATCCAAACTTTGCTTCATGTACTTGGTTTGAATTATGCTGAACTGATTGTTTGTTAAAAGAGACGTATGATTATGATTTTATGAATACATATGGCTTTCTTCAATGAGTTATCTGTTGGCATAATTAAATCATTATATACTGAAACTTAGTGTAATATTAGAACATGCTGAGATGGACAGCAGATGTACAGGACAACACATTTTCTGTCCTTCTTTGTTTTCTGTGTGATTTATACCACTGAGCCGTTTATTTTTTAAAGCCTGGCCATTGTTGAAGTGTGCAACAGCTTTGCTGGCCCGCAGTGAAAAGCCTTCTGTGTTATTAAACTGGAGAGTCGGGACCGAGCTAAATGGAGACTGGAGCACGAGGTCAACATTCACCACACTGGAGATCCAGGAGCCACCAGGAGCAGCAACAGCACGACTTGAAGGAAGCAACATAATCCTGAGAGCTGTTCATACATCACCAAAGACGGCATCGTACCCCAACTACTGACTATTCTTCAAATGATGTATCTTTATCCAAACCATGATAAATGTAAACATAACCAACCAAAAGAAAGAGAAACTAAAAATGAAACCAGGTCCTAAAACAACAACAACAAAACGTGATGGCACAGTGAGGACAGACGGTCTTCTGCAGAGCTCATCTTTTTAATCTGTGGTGGCAAAGAAACTTTAAAGTCAGGATGACACAGGCTAGTCGAACACGTGCTTTGTTGCCTTTACTCTGGATTCACTTTAGCTTCACATATTTAATCATTTAATATTCGAAGCATATCCTGCCACTGCCATACTCACAACATAACATCCACAGATTTTGAGGGCATTTCTCTGTTTGTTTTCGCTTGAGATGTTTCCACTTTTCAAAGAGGACAAAAAGGAATAATAACGATAAATAAACAGAGGGTGAAAGAGGAATCCTGAAAACTGCCACTGAATGTAGAAATCAACCTCTATCAGATCAACAGGGAAGAGATCATCGTGGAAAACAAGCACCTTCACCTTTCTTCATCCCGTTCTTGCCTTTGTTCACTTTCATCCTTCTTCCTGTCTGCTCTGTCATGACAAGATTTTCCCGGCACAAATCCAATAATACTTTAGTCTGTCTACAGCAGCAGGACTGTGCCGGAGATCAGAGCGCAAAGATGCCAGAGAGTGTCGGAGGGTCACAAGTGTGGCACTCTGATCCACAGCAGCTTCTCAGCTCTACTTTCAAACCCCAGCCGGGGTTATTTGTCCAACTATAACAAACTACTCCTACAGTCAGCTGGGAGGACAACATGAAGTTTCTCCTCCATGTGTTTCTTCTTTGTCTACACTATGCCAGTATTTTTAGACACAAGAAGCTGAACAAATGTGAGTACAACTGGCTTAGAAGATCAGATATGATACAAATAACTTGCTGAATGAATAAATAAGCATAAAAAAGAAAGAATAAAATGGTAAATGGACTGGTTCTAATAATAACAACAATAATAATGATGATACAGCTCTTTTTGACTGAACACTCAAAGAGCTAAATGATATTAAGAGGTTCCACAATGTTCTGTCCCTTCTAGGTTACATATTTGTTTTCCAGTGTGGTTATTCTTCACGTCTGACCACTTGCTGCTGTCCTTCAAAAGTCTGTGTCTCAAACTGACAGTCAAATCACAACAGCAGTCACCACACGGTGCTTCATATTGTACAGCAAAGACCCCACAACAGTGCAGAGAAAACCCCAACAATCAAACAATTCCCTATGAGCAAGCACTTGGTGACAGTGGGAAGGAAGAAACCTGATCAGAGCCAGGCTGAGGGGAGGAGCATGTGCTGGGATTTGTTCTCCAGACTCAAACGTTAGAGCAGGACTTCCTGTAAACCAAACCATCCATCCTGTAAACAGCGTAGAGATGCAGAGATGCATCAAAAAAAGTCTTTCTTCTTGTATCGCTGTTTCCTGGTCTAATTTGTATGCTTGTGTTAGACAGCAGATAAGTTGGTGTCAAGTGGAACTCCAGCTCTGCTCTGAGGTCCTGATCACAGGTTAATGATAAAACACGATACTGCAGAAGACTTAAAAAGAGCAGAGAGTGAAGAAAAGAAAGTGAAAGAAACAAAAGTCAAGCGAACTCAGCATCAATATGACTCACGCGTCCGTCCCGTCGCGGCGGCTGCCGGTCCGTCTCCCTCGGGGTAAACAGGAGTGATGGAGACTTTGTACTCTGTGTCTGACAGCAGAGGCTGCAGAACCAGGCTGTTCTGACCAGTGGGCACTGTTCTCTGTAAGCACAGAAAGACCAGTCAGGACAGTTTTGAAAGACAAGCAAAGCCGTTAATGTTTGACTTTAACATTTAGACATTTCCCCATCCTCAGTCTCTCTGCACTGATGTGACATTTCACCTCCCAAAGTTCAGCTGCCAGTCAAACAGAGAAACTGCACTCTGACGTTTTCTTGTTTCTAATCTCGATAGTTTCCACAGCTCATCGTCCAGTTTTGCTTTGTAATATTAAACGTGTGGACTTTTGTAGCTGCTTCTTAATCATGTTGCACCACATACGCTCACTGCAGGATCACTTCATGTAGATCAGATGTAACAGCAGGATAACGTGGCTGCCGAGGTTTCTCGATTTAACAGGACCTCGAGTTTGCTTTAAAAAAAAAAATAGGAAAATGATGTTTCTGCAAACCCAAAAAACTTGTGCATGTCTTCAGTGATTTGATTATAATTTGTGTCCACATGCAGAGATACGTTTGCGTCTAAATGATTGTTTCTTTGATCATTCTCATTACCCTCCCTCTTCCTTCACAGCATGATCGAGGTGACAGACTGCGACTGAGAACGTCTTCAAGCATTCTGCATTCTTCCCTCTGTTTGTTGATGTTTTTGGTAGCATTTCTGTATCTGCATTCAGTCTTTAAACGCACTCTGAAAACTTTTGAATGAATTATGATAAAACGCTGCAGGGACGTCGAGGAGCCGCGTTAACAATTCATCACAGCTTCGTCCACTGAGGTCATCAAGGTCAACCTGAAGATTTATTGGTCGAAAACTGACATAACATGTTGTGTTTATTGTCAACATTTAGGAAGTACCATATAGATTTAAATGATCATGTCACATTTGACCTCTGACCTCTCCTTCAAAGTCTGATCTGAAGGTCAAATGATAATGTTGCAGGTTTTGTGACAGGAACAAGTTTCCATGGGAGACTTTTTAACTGTAATTGACTAATTTCATTATAACTTTACTGTGTTTACATTAGCAGGTCATATGTGTTTAAAATTAAATCAAATTCATTTGTTTTTTTTAATTAAAATCAAACCAGTTTTTGTTTCTTTTTCGCTTGATCTTCAGTCCAACAGCTCACCGCTGGGTTTGTTGGTCTCTCTGACTCCCGTCTCCCTTTTTTGTGCTTTGTGTATTTTTTATTGTTAATATTTTATTATCATTTTTTATTTTCCATTCTTTGAACTCCTGTCTCATGTGTTGGCTTCCTCTGAGCCATGGATTTAGAGTCTAACAAGGGCGGATTTAAAAATGAGTTAACAAAGAGAATTAAGATTTCTAAAGCACGAGCTAGCAAAAAAATAGCATTAGCCTTTTTAATAGAGGTGAAGGAGGGAGAGTGGCTGCAGTGGACTGCGAGGTTTCAAAGTGCTGCAGAGGTTAATTGTGTCCAGGTGTCCTCCTCACCTGTGGGCGAGCTGAGTCTTTTATTAAAACTGATGATCTCACACTGAAGACAATCTAATCTCCTTCTTTACCCCGTGGACATCTTTCCTCGCTCTTCATCTCTGCTTCTCTCGATTTCTCTGCTGTTGTTTGTCTCACCACATCTGCTGTTCATAAATTATACTTATATGGTGACTTATATTATTTATTTTTGTTTTTGTTCTTTGAATCCGAAACCCAGTGGAGCTCTCTTTGTTTTTATTCTCCAAAACCTCTGGCTCATTTTCCCCTCCGCTCATCTTAAAGTATCACCTTCTCTTCCACACTCTTCCCCCTTCTGTTATTAAACTCTATGATACACATATATATATTTTATGTATGATGACAGTAATTTCCAACAAAATCCAATTGGAGCAAACTGAAAAGGATGGCGTCGTCTGGTTGTGGCAACATAATAAAAGAAAATCTTGACAAATTCAAGTGGCTCCTCACATTCTATTGGTTAGAAAGAAGCCAAATCTTCTCTCAGTAAACTGAACATATTATATCAGCCGAGCCTTATGATACAGTTAAGAAACACTCGTCTGTTATTTGATCTGCATAAAGCATGCTGTGAATGCTCTAAGTGGCTCTGTGAAGGGAAATGTTTGTATTTTACATATGATTGAACACAGAGCTCATCTCGCTCCAGGTAACCAGAGCTATTGTTGTATTGTGCGTAGGAGAAATCTTTAAAGGTTGAGCTCTCTCTGCTGTCTGTCTGCTGGGCCAGTTTGCATTCTGAGCATGTAGAGTCTGGCCCGACTCCATTCGCAAAACTTCCACTTTCTAAAAAAACAGAAAGAAATTCTTATACGTGTCAGTCAGAGCAGCACTGTGGGCCTTAACAAATCAATTTCAGCCCAGCCTGATGAAAAAGGCAGCAAGTCTCTAAACTGTCACAGTGTCACACAGTTGGAATAAACCACCTCCAGCTGCACTCCCTTTTTTACTCCAACCTCTTTGTAAATGCAAACGCGGTCTCATAAAGTATTTATGTGATCCAGAAACACAATCTTGTTTTGACAGAGGCTCCACGCAGGTCTGGAATATTAAGTTTGATCCACCTTCGCTGGAACAACGAGGCTTAAAGGTAAACTGCAGGGTAGACAGTCAAACACACAGCTGACAGAGTCAGAGTGCGATGACACAAGAAGAGCTGTACAGACAAAACGCCAAAGCAGAAACAAGACTTCAGACCAGAACAACTGGAACCAACAAAAAAAATCAGAAAGACTACTACGAAGAATATTTTGGTCAATATTGAGATTACAGAACAATTATTGACCTAAAACCGAAATATAAATACATAAATACTAGGGCTGCAACAATACACAAAATTCACGGTTCGGTTCGATACTTTGGTGTCACAGTTCGATATTTTTTCGATACAAAAAAATGTTCATGCCTTTTTAATTTGTCATTTATTAAAATTATAAATATATATTTTAACTCAAAAGTACAGTTTTTAAATGTAATGTTGCTGAAACAACAAAGTAATAAAAATAAATTCATCTATCTGATGGAGGAATCACTCATCTTTGGAGAAGAGAGTTTATTACAGAGAAATGGCTCTTTCAAAATAAAAGCTCTACTATACGCTTCTTCTGGGCTATATTCTCAGCAGCATATTAAACATATCAGGTCCCCATAAGGAGAATCCTGTGCTAACGGCTGTCTAAATGACTCGGGTAAAATTTGTAGCATGCTGCTTGTTGTTTTTGTCTGCTTCCACTTGTCTTTGCACGAGGATGATGTCGGAGTAAACGTGCAGTCATATTCGTTGTGTTCCCACTAGTGCTGTCAGCGTTAATCTCGTTAAAACGACATTAACGCCATAACGCGGCAAATCTCCGTTAACGAGTTACCGTGGATCGCCCCGTGCGTGGGGCTGGACGGCGTCAACACCTTAACAAGCTAACTACGCTAACGCAGTAGTTCCCACCAATTGAGCATTGTGGCACATCCGACATACTGTTTTACTTTTGTCCATGACGCGCTTACGTCACATGAAAATCAAAATAGGTCCAAAGGCCAGATCTGAATGAGGGTGGGGGAGGTTCAATTTCGGGTAGCGTTGAAGCAGTTGCCATGTTGCAACGAGCGCTCAACACAGACAGCATCGTCAGAAGAAAAGTTGATAAAATAAATAAAAAATTTTGTATTGTTCGATACATATGCGTACCGAACCGAAAGCACTGTATCGAACGTGTTGCACCCCTAATAAATACATAAACACACCACAGCCAGTCAGTGTGACAAAACTAATGAATAATGTTGAACTGTCAGTAATCTTGTTTAAATCATTTTTATGATAAATCCAAATAGTCGCCCTAGATCCAAGTGGGGACGCATCCCTTATGTTGCCAACCAAGCGGGAACCTCCAGGGGCTGAAAACTGAAGCTGAGAAAAAAAACTATCCATACCTGCAGTTCCTTTAGTGGCCACTTGGGGAAAAATGCTCATAAACTCTGGTGTTAACATGCCTAGCTTTGCAGTAGTGGTCGACATCACTGACGATGTTAAAGAAGAAACACCTTTAATCTTAGATGAGGACTTTGAGCTCAGGTCAAGTCATAAGAAGCCTTCAGTTTATTACAGGACATTTTTGACAGCTGGTAGCTGCTGGACGCACAAATCCTGGAGGATTTGTGACTTTGGAGAAAGAAAAAAAAAAAAGAAAAATTATATATATATATATATATATATATATATATATATATATATATATATAAATAAAAGACACTTACTGTTAAATATCAGAAACAGACCTAACATTAACAAAAAACAAATAGATAGAGAACTGGAAGTGGATCAGACACACTAAATGAGGAGTTAGGGGACAGACATTTCTGCTGAATGATGCCAAAGATCACAGTTTGGATTTCTCCCTCATGAAACCACACTTATGGTGCTTAAACCTAAATGGCTTCCATTAGCTAAAACCGGCAATTGAGACATGGCTCAAAGATCAGAAATTAAAGCTTTAGTGCAAAACACTGTATTTATTGATTATTTTCTAATAGCTGTGAGTGTCACACACAGACAGTTACAGTTTTTTAAGAAAAAGATCCCTTAAACTTTTTAATCCCCAGTTTTTAACCTCCTGGAACAAGAATCTGCTCCCGAGCAGCGAGAGCCAGAACCCTGCACACGGTGGAATTGCTCTTGATGCCCGGCAGCTTTGGTTTATTGGACGCTGAATGAAGCGGCACAGGGAAATAATGGAGCTTCAATGAGTTGAGCATCACAGCTGCCTGTGGACAGATGGCTTCAGAGTTGAGTCACGCCATGGCTACGGTGTAGACACCATCATCTGGTACGGCAGTGACACAGCCATCTGAATGAACCGAACCATTAACTTCTAGATTCATAAGCTTGTAGAGACCTAAGCACTGAGAAATGTTTCATTTATTCGTGCATTAATTTTCTAGTACAAGTCTAGCAAGAAAGAACCAGACCAGGTTAGAGGTTGTAACCCAAAAAGTCCGGATTGGAAATGTTCCCGTCAGACTGCACAGGTGCACCACAAACACAATCATACCTGCTAATTACAGCTAAGTAACAGACTAATAACACGCTAGCATTTCACTCCCTGATGTCTGTATCTGACAGCAGGCCACACAGTGTTTGTCAGATGAAAAAAGCTTCATAAGGCACCAACAGACTCAGTGGCTTCAGTCAGAGGAGGCGAGCTCTGATTGCCTACAGTTCCCCGTGTCAGGAAATTGGGCATTTTGATGTGGGAGGCACTGGGGACAGACTGACTTGTGGAGTCCGTCTGAAGGACAGCTGGCTTCTTAATACCTCTGTGCTGGCTTCATGCTTCTGCCCAGGAGGTCAAAATTTGACGATAACAATGGAAATGCAGATATTTCTATCAGCCAGAGAAGAACAGGACAAAAACTAAGACATAACCACTCGATAATTAAATAATATAAATAATTCAAAAGTTGCAAAAAGGCCAAGGAAGTCTGATTTCTGGTTTTTCTTTGCTGCGTGTTCCTGTGATGCAGAGCGTTCTGTAATCGTGTTACAAAACCACTAATATCCACAATTTAATTACATATAATATGATTTGTTGCTGCTGCAGATCTAACATGCTGACTACACGTTAGCTCTTTAGGACAAGATTCCACCAGTGAAGATGAAGTGGGATGAGCCACATATCAATAACACGTGAATGAGACGCGCTCCTTCGGTGGCGCGTTGCCCTGCTTTGGCAGCCGAGAACCACAGAGTGAAACTTTGAACAAAGCAGGTGTTTTTTTCTCCCCCCACAGCAGATAGACATCTAAATAGTAGCTATTGAGCGCAGCACTTGGTGATTCATAACCTGACCGGATTGCCAAACAGAGGCCACAGCTGTTCGTGCTTTGATAAGAGATCTCATTTAACAAGCCGCCGGTGCGAGCAGCTGGTGGCTCTTTATTGTCAGGATGAAAAGGCTGAAGCGGGACCTGTGTCCAGAGTGGGCCTCTGGTGCGGTGGCAGCACAACCAGCACACAACAACACACACCAGTGAAGTCAAAAGTCACAGGAAGATGAGACGGTTCTGGAGATATTTGACACGCGTTAACCTGGCAAAGGGAACACCCGACCACTTAGGATTACAAAGAACCTTGGAAGCCATGCTCTACATTTATTAACACCAAAGAGACAATTATTACAGAATAAATGTGATTTGCACAAATGTGAAAGAAAACAATGAGAGCATGAAAAAGAAAAAAGTCTTTGTGATGCATGTAAAGGTGTGTGTGTGTGTGAGCAGAGTTTAAAGACAGGAAATCTGGGAGTTTGTCTTTAATTAGGATTCAAAGCAGCTTTTATCATGAAAACTAATCACACTGTAAACATGACATGTCTGCCTTCTAACGGGGACTTTTAGTCAAAACTCTCCTCATCACCGAGAACCAGACAGACGTCTTAGTTGAGCAGGAACCGTGAAGTTTGACCCTGATTACCGAGGACAACTATCTTTTAAAGCACACCCCCTCCCCTGGAATATTCCACATTCAGGTTTCCCACATGCACGTGTTGTTGGTAAAATCACAGTGTCGAGAGGTTTTTTTGCACCATCCAGCTCCTGCGTCCTTCCTGTGTGGCAGGAGTGCAGAAAGCATCAATGCCCTTTTCCCCCTTTGATTAAATTGCCATTTAAGTGGAACTGGACAAAAACCAAGCTGGGATTTTGAGCCTGTGCTCAGTGTTGGTCCAACATCCTGACGGGTTGCATGAGTCACTCTGTAGGCATGAAAGCAAGTTCTGGCAATAAAAGTCACAGTTTCCGGGGTTAAGGTAGAGACCCGGAGCCAGAACCTGTGAGCGAACTTTCATATTTTGTTATTAAAAATAATATTTGGCTCCCTTTGGACATTTTCGGCACGCGGGGCCACGATTGTACCCCATTATTGATGTATTGTCACGCACGCCTGTGGCATATTTTTGCACGAGTGTTGTTTTCTATAAAAGCCTTCTCTCTCTGCTCATTACTGCAGAAGCTGCCAGGCTCTCTCTACCTTACTGAAAAAAAGAAAAACTCTTTGAAGGCCTGCCACTGTTTTCATCATCATTATCCTCTTCCTGCTCTCGTCTCTGCCCCTTAACTAGACTCTGAAGGCCTGCCATCAACTTCAGTAGCACTGACTTTCTCTCCAAGGAGGACTTCTAATCTGAGGGCCTGCCATTGTCTTCATCAATAATCTCCCACCCTCCTCCTGTTGAAGACTGATGCTCTTTTGTCTGTTCCATTGTATGAATTTGTAGGAGTTTGACTTTCAGAGCATAAAATTTGAAGAGTATTCAAAGAAATCACACAAACGTGACTTAGTAAAGTTTATGGCTGGAAATGTTCTGCAAATTAAACTTCTGCAAATTGGTGATGTGGTCGTGATGGCTGCCACAAGGGATTTCCATTTATTTTAAATGACAGGGGAAGGCTCTATCAGCATGGAAAACACATCGCTGTCAGTTCCCTGTTGTTTTTAGGTGGTGTTTGTGTGCTGGGGCTGATTGTTTGTTGACTTTATTAATGTGCGGCTCCTATAGGCTAAGATAGTGTTGCTGAGTGTTGATGCTGGGAATGAAAAGCAGGCATTGCTGAAGACCGTTCAAATGAGCATCAGACCTGGAGGTAATTATTATGAAATGAAGTGTCTCTCTCTGTCTTACCGTCTCTGCTGCTCGGTCTCCCCTCGCACTGATGTAGCTCAGTCGATAATGTCGAGCATTTCTGGGGTCGACGGGCTGCCAGGACACCCGCATGCTGAACGTAGTTTCTTCATCGATCTTCATGCTTCTCACCCCGTACCGAGGAGCTGAAGGGTTGGACAGAGAAACTCTGGCTGCAGATCAGTGACTCAAAGATTAACTCAGTGAAGCATGAAGCTGTCACAGCCTATCACAGAAAGCGATGGTATCAAAATGTCATCATTCTGGCATTTAATTTGCTCAGATTTTCATATCACATCAGTGTCTTCGGAATATCGAAACGTTCCTTCGGAGAACATATCGGAACAACGCACCCTCCCTCTGATAATATAGAAACAGGTTTACAGACGCTATCAGTGAAACAGGAGGAGCAAACTTCTTATCTGATTTACCGTTTCAGAATTTTGATCTTATAACATCAGCATTTATAGCGTCACTTACACGCTCGAATTTTTGGAAACTTTTTTCCCAGTGCTGCCATTTCAACACAAAACCACAAAGAGTGTTCTCACATGAGTCCTAATATTATGATCTTTATCTTTTTTCTTTATTTCTCTGATTTCTAAAAGACAATAACTGCTCTCCATCCTGTCGAGATTTCTTGCTTCCCGAAATCCAAACTGAGACGACTTCGGCTGGTTTGCATTTACGTGTCTCTGTCCTGTGCCAGGCTAGAAAGAACCAGACATTTACTTCATATCTGCAGCTTTACTCTGTCAATCTGACTAAATAATCGATACTGAGTAACTGCACTGGATCCAAACTGCACCCACAGGTAACAGTGTGGTTTTTCTTATTTAGTCTGGAAAATTTCAAATTCATGGAAAATATGTGTTTCACATTTAAAAGCTAATTGGTTACTACAGTAAAAAAAAAAACATTGATCTTCAGGCACACGTACTGCGTGGAGAAATGAAAACTGCCAGAGTTTCTGGAAATTCTGAGTCATTATTCGACAGATCCTGGAAGATTTCTGTTGCCTAAAGAATTCCCATGAGCACTCGTTAGTCTGCAGTTCCACATGCACTTACAGGGCTGCTGATTGATGAAGATCCCTCGTTTCATGCAAGTTAGAGCTGATAAAAACACACCAACAGTTCAAAGGCATCTATTACCCATGTTCTTCATCAGCACAGGACCACAAACGCTGCCTCAGTGCGTTTCGTTACATTAAACCTCAGCAACACGTTGGTGGAAAAGAAGCCAAGTGAGAAATGAAAGTCTTAGGATGACAGAGTTGATGAAGGATGAAGTAAAACACAGACGATGGAGAGAAGAGAAAAAAGATCCAAATTCATCCCGGGATTAATTACCTGCTACGGTGGTGGTTGTCGTGGCAATGGTGGTTGTTTTTTCAGCTGAAAATCAAATGCAGAAACATGTCACTGATGCGACTGATCCATTAATTCAGAAAGTTTAAAGGATCCTTTGATGTCTGATTCCTCTGAGCGGTTTACAGAATAAAATCAGAGAATAATAACAGAAAGACGACAAACAGTCTCATTAATAAACACAACAAACATGAAAGTGTGAAGAAATCTGAGGTTTTGTAACAATAAATTTACCGGTGGACTCCACGAGGATCACCTCATCACTCTCCAGCTCATTCCCGTAAATGGCGGCCAGGAGGACTTCGTACTCTGTCGAGGGGGTGAGTTCCTTTATCAGGTACGTGTTGATATTCCCATTCACCAAAACCTGAAACAGCAGGACAACAAATCTGCTTTAGACAGACAGGTGACAGAAAAAGATGTTCCAAAATGTTTCATTCTAAGAGTTTCCTGATAAAACCTCTTTCTGCAGAGTACATAAAAGCAAAGTCACCATCAGTTAAGACAAAGATCAGAAGACATACAAAGGCCGGTGACGCCCACATTATCTCTCAGAGACTCACTGGAGTGACAAAGTTGGCTTTTATCTGCTGTCACGTGCACTTCTTCTCATATCTTAATGAAATCATTTGATTGGTGCTTATCAGGTTCAAAGACGCTGCCAGTCAACAATGACTGCGACAAAGTCAGCACACAGTTATTAAACCTGACTGTGCTGGCAGGAGCAGCTTCGTTCGTTAGTGCTCGTTAGTGTTTCAAAGGATCCGATCTGCTCATTTCTAGCTCCATATTTTTATGGAGGTGATGAAAAATAATCCTTATTTCTGCGACAGTCAGACTGAGGAGTTTGGTGCAGCCTCTCAGTCTGTCCACTGCCTGGATGAAGACATTTATCCATCGTCCTTTGAGAAGAACAGAAGGTGGTTCAGTCTTCTGTGCTCACAGTCAGCTTCGTGTGATATGATCATATAAGGATATTCCCTCTGTAACATTACACAGAGCTGAGAGTAGAAACTGCCATTTGGCCACATGAAACACTGCCAACATGTGTTTAATTTAAGCATTGAGCAGTCTAAAACTTTATAAAGAGAGTTTTAATGGTCATTAAGGACTGAATTACTTAAAAGAATGAGCGTTTTCCATCCTGAGAGATGACACTTCAGAAATCATAAGATTTCCAGGTGACTTTCTTTCATCTTCTAAGCTTAAAATACACATATAAGCGTATAAGAAACACGTGAACACCTCACTGCTCTCTTCTCCGTCGGTGGGTGTCCAGGTGAGTCGATAAAGCACCACATCAGACGCCGGGTGAGCCCAGGACACCCTGAAGCTGTTCGTGGAGATGTCACTGCTCCTCAGGTCCACTGGGTCCGGGACAGTTTCTAAACAAACACCAACAATTCTGGTTGAAACCATTTCAGAAACACTTTTGAATGTAACAATCTCTATTTACAATGATGTTAGTTTCTTACTTGTGGTGAAGCTGTCTGTCACAACCTCAGCTTGTCCTTCATCATAGACGGCAAACACACCGACAGTGTACTCCGTCAGTGATGTCAGGTTTTTCAGCAGCCAGGCTGTCACACGGCCAACATCCACCTGAAGACACAGGACCAAAACACAATGACATTTGTTCCTAAGCGACTCGGTTTGTTTGTCATGTTGGAATTAGCAGCACGGACAGTGCACAGATGCTGGACCAATGATCAGGCTCTGCTGGAATTGTTAAACTTCATCGAGGAACGACACGTTACTACTTCCTCTCTGACAAGTTTGGGCTAGCCTGATGACCTGTGTCCTCCAGAGTTCCCTCACCTCATTGGTCTGGACTCCATTGGTTTTGACGTACATGATGCGGTACCCTTTAACCTTCCTGGAGGCGGAGTCCCATGTGATTCGGGCAGAGCTGTGATCCACCTCAGAGAAACGAAGGTTCCTCGCTGGGATCAGCGGTACTGAGGGACAGAAAGCAAACCATAAACACAACATCTGGAAAGAAACAGCTGTGAACTGACTATAAATTCCTCTCCCTATGGAGGATGGATTCAGCCAAAATATATATTAATCAGTATGACTACTGGACAGATAATGCAATATTATTATGCTTTATTTGTATACCAATGAATTAACCTGTTTATTTACCTTCACTAATTTATTTATTTTTTAACTTGGCGTTCCTGCATTGACTTTGGGAGACTGGCAGCTTTGTTCCTCCATACTACTTTATTAAATGTGCCTTTCAGAAAATGTTCCAAAACTTTAAATCATATAAACTTCCCAGTTGCTCATATTAGCATAGTTATAATCCAACACTAAGAAAGCGTGTGTGGCCTCGGAAATGGAATATTTTTCAAACTGAACGTATACATCGCAAAAAGACGAAGAAAGAACGAAAGAACAAAATAGCCAGATACATGGACACGCAAACACAGCCGAGCCTTCATGAGGGGCCTGAAATCGGGACCCCTGATAACAGCAGGTCTGTCTAATTCACACTCGCACTCATGGGGGTTTGTACAAGGGTTATTGGACTCCACTACTTTTAATTATAAAGTGGACAGAAGCTCATTACATCACCGCACTCCCTCAGGCTCTGCCTAAACGTCCTCTCTTTCTCATTTCTTCTCGCCGTCTCGGAGGTCTAAAAAAAATCCCCCCCCTGCCCTCACTTTAAAAATTCTGCCGTAGAATCTGATTCTCTCTGAGCTTTGGAACTTTTACATTTAGAATCACTGATCTGTTTTCTTCAAAAGAAAAGAAAAATAATTCTGATTGTACCCACCAGTGCTTCACCTCAATTATACCGAGGGTCAGATTAAAAACAAAGCAGCAGACAGAGAGAAATCCAGAGTGGGCTGAAGGGAGTGAGATACTGCAGCGGGGTATCCCAGGGTCACAACAGCAATGAGCAAAAAGCAAATTAAAAAAGTTTAACAACAGGTAAGTCGCTAAAGTTTCCAAACGTTTCCATATAAAGTATTACAAGAACCATATAGATGACGCTACAGCTCAGGGGTGTCACTGCAGCTGGCAGCTTTGCTCAACACCTACATAACTCTAGTGTTGTTTTAACTGACAGCTCAGCCAATCAGAGCTTTCAACATTATTATAACAGCTCTGATGAAGTTTCATTAAGCAGATCACCAATACAGGAAAAGTGTGCTCCTTTAATTTAATTAGGGGTTCCAGATCAGGCAGTGAAAGGTGGAACCTAGGGGTGGGCGGTATAAACGGTATAAATTTGGCCAACAGTAGAGATTTTGACTATACAGCTCTACCGCAATAGCATGTTGATGGTGCCTGTTTTGGTTGAAAGCATTGCAGCGGCTGCAAACAATATCATCTGCAAATTATGCAGGCAGCAGTAATGGCAAAGAGACTAAGCACTTTTGGAATATGGGGAAAGCCAAAACCTGCGCTTCCTCCACTTCCCTACCATTGATTCATTAATGCTGAATTCTCTTGCAGCTGCTCTATTCCCATGTTGTTGCAGTATATTAATGACTAACTTCGTATTGTGGATGGATTATCTCAGTTGTTCTCCTGACTGAAGTTTGGTCCGTTTACAGCATCCTGCCATGCGATTGCATTTGTTCCTGACCATCAGGAACCCTCACGTTAACTTTTGTCCAGCGTTCATCCTCCAGCTTCACTGTGCTAATGTTATGCTAACGTAGCTGTTTTGCTAGCGATCACGTAGCACATCATTATATAGCAGCTAGCCCAACTTCAGTAACCCTACAAACGTCACTGCTGTTTAGTTTTCTGTCTTCATTTATGTTGGAAGTGATAGCAGAGCTGTACGTTTGAATTTTTTCAGAAATCTCTCAGTCAGAACATGCTATATCATGTTTAGGTGGAAACTAGAGAGCTAACTTCCTGCTAACTTCTAACTCCGTTGAATTTAATAAATTCTGTTTTCATAGATGTCTGGATGTTAAACTTTTTTTTTTCTTCTTTTTTTTCCTTTTTTGCAAGACTAGAAAAAAAGTTCAAACATTTTGACATAATTTGTCTTATCTAATGGGTAACCTCTGGGTAACATGTGGAGGTGTGTGTGTTGTGGGTGGGTGAGGGGGGGTTTGTTTTACACACACAAAGTGCGAATATTTTTAGGTTTAGTGCTATTAAAGGAACTGTGCCAAGCTTATTAAATTATTGAGTTTAAAAAATGTGAATGGAGACCCAGTAAATACTGAATCTTACAGTGCCTACTTATTTAAGCTATTTTTATAGGTTTGTTGTGTTTAACTTATTTGTTTTTTCAACTTTAACTTTTTTAACTTTTATTTGCTGTAACAAGAAATGTCCTAGCTTTGAATAACTCTTCTCTTCTCTTGTCTTAATGAAGAGTACATAGCCTGAAGTAGAAGGATAATTTCCAACATTACTCATGTGTCTGCTCTGCAGTGGGCTATTTATCATTAGATGGTTACAGTAACACCATATTTCTGCTGCATTTATGAAATTATAGAACAACAATAACTAAAATTGTGTACTTTTTATTACGTAAAGATGAGAACTGTTGTGAAGTGGAGGAAAAATGTCCTGTTTAGAGTGACTTTGCCAAAGCTCTAGAGCTACTTTGTAGTTAATCAAATGAAAAGGAGGCTGGTTTGATATCCAGTAGAGCGATTAGCAGTACGATACCTCTGAAGATACTAAAAGTAAACAAACAATATGAAAGTTTCAGTTTCATTTTCCAACTGCAGATCAAGCAGACCAGCAGCCAGTGTGAGCAAATAAATGTGTCCAAACACTGTGAAATCCTCTGTGAAATCCTCTGTTTTCCTCCATTACTGGATGTTAAACTTAATTGTTACACCTGGTAAAGCAGCAACACTGATTATTTTATTAGAGATGAAAGAATTTAGACAGTTTGACTTTGGAACCTGAAGGCGACGGAGTTTTGGACCCAGATTACTCCAAGGCTCCTACGGCAGCCATAATGCTCCAACAATCCATCAAGCGGTGCGCCTTCATAGCTTACCAAAGTCATACTAAAACATTTTTTGACAGATTTCTGTGCGCCGTGTACCACATAAAATTGGTTCGAGGTCAGTGAGCACAACCAGAATTCAAACATAAGGAACACTGTCGAATTTTGAGAAAATTAAAGGATTTTAAGTGTGCCTTATATTATTTAAAATATGTTATAAGGAAGAAAAGAATATATTGTTACTGCACATGCCTCAAATTATACCGTGATATGGATTTTAGGCCATATCGCCCAGCCCTAGTGGAACCCATCTTATTTAAAGCTCTGACATCAAGGTTCTGCTGTTTTGCTCACTTTTGAGTATGTAGTATCATTGTACCAAGGTCAAAGCCATGTGGCTCTGGACCAGGGGTGGGGAACTCCAGGCCGGTGTCCTGCAGGTTTTAGATATCACCCTAGATTAACACACCTGAATCAAATGATTAGTTTATACCCAGGCCTCTGGAGAACTTCAAGACATGAGGAGGTCAGTTAACAATTTAAATCAGCTGTGTTGGCTCAAGGACACGTCTAAAACCTGCAGGACACTGGCCCTTGAGGCCTGGAGTTTCCCACCCCTGCTCTAGAGCTTTGATGGACATGGCCAAAAAACCTCACCTAGAAATTTTCTAGGCATCCTGACCAAATGTCCGAACCACCTTAACTGACTCCTTTCAATTTGGAGGACTAGTGGCTCTACTCCGAGCACCTGACCGAGCCACTTAGCACATTTCTAAGGGACACCCTGTTGTCTGTCTCTTGTATCCACAATTTCATTCTTTCAGTCACTACCTTGAGCTCGTGGCCACAGGTGAGGGTAGGGACATAGCTTGACTGGCAAAGCAACAGCTTGACTTTCATGCTCAGGTCCCTCTTTGCCACAGCAGACCAAGAAAGCCTCTGCATCACCATTAACATTGCTGCAATCTTTCTGTCAATCTCTCGCCTCACTCATGAACAAGACCCTGAAATAGTTAAACTCCTCCATTCGGGATGGCGACTCTTCCCCGACCTGGAGTGGGAACTCCCTTTTCAGGGTGAGAACCATGGTATCAGCCTTGGAAGTGCTAATTAATTCTCATCCCAGCTACTTCTCTTTCGACTGTAAGTTGATCCAGTGCAAGGTGGAGGTCACTGCCCGATGAAGCCAGAAGAACTCCAGCTTCTGCGAAGAGCAGTAATAAGCTCCTCAGGGCACCAAAGCAGAAAACGTTCAGCGCTTGTCTATGCCTACATCTTCTGTCCATAAAGCTAACACAGTCTCACTTACTTCCAGCAACACACCGTCTGAGGCAAAGAGACATATTCAAGAACTCCAGTGTTTTACAACGACATCTGCAAATAACTGTTGGCATCAGAATGTGAGCATTTACAATATGAATGTGCCTGCACATAAATGCATTGGAATCAAGCCAGCAACAACAAAAAAGGTCCTGCTGTCCAAAAATAAAGTTGACATTTTTCAGAGAACACACAGTTAAACACCAGGCCTTTTGAAATAATGTGTTGTGGAGAAAATAAAGACCACAGATGAAATAGGCAAAAGAAAATCAATCAATACAGTAAAATCCCATAACAGTGATACAACGGCCGTGGTTTGGGGTTGCCTCATTGCTTCAATGATGGGGCAGATTGAAGGGCACAAGTGTGATTAGTAATTGAATTCTGCATCACACCACATCATGTCCAAGAATGCTTGAAGACAAAGTGAAGCCATGTCTCTGAGAGCTAAAGGCGACCAATGAGAAAATATCCCCAAAAACCCCTCAAACAAACAAAAAAAGGAAAATGGACGGATACAGACTGGCCAAGTCAAACTGGAGATTTGCATGTCATTAAAAAGTTGTGTGGGAAGCACAAGAAACCTTCAAACATCTGTCAGCTTCTGTAGTGCAGTTCTTGTTTCTGAGTGTCCCATTTCCACAGAAGAATATTCAGTTTTTTTATTGTAGCTAAATTATTGAAAAAAAAAACCCTTTTTGTTTTAAATCCTTTCTTATATAAAAGGGATCAAGTGTTTGCAAGTCTCTCATGACATGTATAACCTCTGCAAGCGCACACACTTAGAGCTACAGCTAAATAACAAACAACCAATGAAAAAAACAATTCAAAATCAAATCTGCATTCTGTGGCCTCACGACCTGCTTCTGGTTGTAAAACCACAAAGTGGGAAGATGTGCAAAGCTCTCTGTAGTCTGATTTTGTATGAGTCTTTATCTTTAATCTCCATCATGCTCCTTCAAAGAAAAAGAAATCCAACTCATTTGCATGTGCAACGGCCTCGTTTCACTGCAATGATCATTAAAGCACATTTTGTCTTAACAATGGAAGAAACGACAGTTAAATGACGAGAGGAAATGAGGGATGAGAGGCCTCTGATGACACAGAGAGGCAGACTGAATGAATACGAACAAGCTCGTTGAGTGAAAAGCACATCACGACCGTCATTTGCATCATGTGGTGTGTAGCTAACGAGGAACCTCGTTTTTATAATGCAGAAGGAATATTTCAGGGAACGGGGCCGATACAAAGATGATGACCAAAACTTAATGTGTCCCATCTTCATTCAAGGGCATTAAGTCCTGCCTGCATGGAACAATAAAAGTTATTTTATTATGAAAATGTATTTGACAGAGTGTCCTCTTCTGACCCGCATCCAAAGCCTTACACACACCGTAAAGACATAAACATGCCCTGACTTAAAGCCGCAGGCCTCAAACCTTAAAGGAGACTTCATAAAATGTTAATTAGTGAGCACAGTGGGGATTTAGGGTGGGCGGAGCGCCGAGTTACTCTCATCAAAACTCTACAGAATGACAGCGAGGTGCAGAAAATAGCTGGAATAAGGGAATCAAAGTTGGCGCCATGTAGAGAATTTGGCATTGCTGGCTGCTAGTTTGTCAGGAGCAGGATACGTGTTGGGACAGGACTTCAGCACGCTGCAGCCATCTGGGAAGAAACTATGAGCAAACACTCAGCAAATGAAAAGCAAATATGTCTGCGGCAGCTGATCCCTCTGATTAGAAAACACATAAAAAAGATAATGAAAGAAATTAGCTGATAAAGGGTTTGGAGGTTTGTACATGGAGGATGTAGGTTTAAGTGCTTGGAGATGTGGTTTCCTCCTGATCAGACAGCTGACAGTTAACGTCCTGAGGAAAATGAAAAATGTGCCGGCTGCTTTCAGAGATGAGAATAGCAGTGACTCGAGTTCAAAGGGTCACACAATCTGTCGGGGATTTAATGAAATTGAATTTCACCAACAGTTAGTAAAGCATATGGGCGGCCTTATATTTCCATTTCTGCGAGGACCAGTTTGCCTTTCTTTCAGATCTCAACTCCCAGGACATTAAAAGAAGATGAGGACACTTTGTGAAAACTGTGTGCCTGCGCCTCATTTTTAAACTGTATCCGGCTGTAGTGTGTGAAGGATTACAAAGCCCTCGTGGAATATTTGTGAAGGCTTGTGTCTTTAAAAAAATATTTGCATGCTTAAATATTGACTGAAATTGTTTATGCAGGCACAACTGTTTACACTTGAAGCTCCTGAACTGTGATGCTGATATTTGTGTGACCTGGATGACGTCAACATTGTCGTTACATAACTCTGGTGATCAGATCAACACTTTATTTTTCAGCCAGAGTTTGAGGTGGATCCATGTCGTTCAGTCAAGAATCAGCCAAAGTTTAATGGCTGCCAACAGGACAAGTCCAACCAGTGAAGTCTGCATGGTAACCACAGACTGTATATAAAGCATAAATGTAGCCACTCTGTCATTACTGATTGGCTTGGACGCCTGTTTTGAAGGTTCAGCCAAAGCTTGACAATGTTCTGGAGACCTAACAGTGTTATTAGCAAATCCTAGAAAACTTGTTTGATTATTATTATGAATGTTAATCATCTAAATAACATTAACAGAAAATACAACAACTTTATTACACCAATCGGCCACATAATAATCCATGTTCAGGTATCAGATAATTCCATTAAAAAGCTACTAATGGCACCAAAAACAAATAGTGGCCATGAGGACCAGCGCCTGTTAGCTAAGGTGGCACCGAGCAGAGAGCCGGGCTGGGCCTGTGGCTCGAGTGATGCTCAAGTTTAAGCCTTAAACAGATACTTGAGACATGAGACATGAGAATCTTTGGCGAACTGAAGATTTTGGCTTCATTCTTCATGTATTGGCTGCTAACAACAGATCAAAGAAATATTTGATGATGGGAGTGTTTTGCATGTTAGACTTACATGTGGTCTGCTGGCTGGTCATGGGGTCACTGGCTTCCTCTCCGTACATGGCGTAAACTGTCACTGTGTACTCAGTAGCTGGAGTCAATCCTTCCAGCTCCACCTCAGTCACCGAGTCATCCACCTTCACCTGCGCACACACAGCAGGTATGTGCATTTAGCGAAGACGCAGAGACTTTCTAGTAGATCCTTTAAATCTCTGTCTTGTCAGTGGATTTCATGCAGTCGTTTATCCGCCCTGTTACTCATCTCTCTGCACGTCTACTCTTCTATCATCAGCAGTCTCGTCCAGGCAAGCAGAGAATTAAAGTGTGATTGCATGAGATGATTTCTGAATATGGAGATCTTCCTTTTACATTAAGCAGGAGGGGCCAATCAGGCTCTTGTAGTATGTCCCACATCTACTGAGCTGAAACTCAGAACAAAGGAAGATGATGAAACTCTGTTTGCAGGACCGCAGTGGTCGATTTTAAAATGTGAGAAAAACATCGGTTGTTTTCTGCTTTGCAGCTGGAGCTTGTCTGCGTAGCTGAAACAGACCTTTCTGTCCCCACAGAGGCCGATTTGTTTCATCTCAATCGCCAATACAGAACTCAACCAGTCTGCAGCTGCTTGCACAGCGCGCACACAAATATTCAACTTCACCATCGCTTATTCTGCCAAACATACACTGGATGCAGACATAATACAACAAATGGCTTTTGTTGTTTCCTTAGAGAACTACAACGTACAACAGGAACAATCAGCCAGAAGGGTCAACGTGATCAATAACTACTGTTAATACTTTCACAGGTTTTTTTACTTCTTACCTCATTTTAGAATATTTCCACCTTATCTTTTGGCCTAAGATGTAACAGCTAAATAACTAAAGGCTTTATCTCTTTTTATCCTGAGACAATTTTCTGAATAGACTCTAACCGCCGAGCTTTGGGACGCCCCTGCCTTTCTCACACTGAAGTAGGAATTTCAATCAGAATCAGAGCTGCTGCAATCAGATAGGATGGCTTAAAGAGGACCAACTCTGCTTGTTTCTCACTTCATATTTTTATTCTTGGATTCTATCAAAGCGACTCTGCATCCTTAAAAAATCCTTATTCCTTTACAAAGCGATTTTAGATCCTCTTCTTTGAAGACCAACTAATGTAGAGTGAAGCCAGAGCTGCTGCATGTCCACATCTTACCACTTCAAATTCTGTCTCGGTTTGATATGAGCGTCTACCATCATTACAGGAGGGGTATTAAAGCATGTTTTGTGTTTTTAGTAGAATGTGACCTATTTAATCTGCTGACTTTTTTCATTTTGTCTGTTTTCTGTGATAAACACCGTAAAAGACTTCAGGTCATACATTTTCTAAGTAGCTTGGCACACAGGAGGAATTTCTTAACCCTGTTTCTTGTCTGTGCAGAGGAAGGAAATACAGTTTCCTTTTCTGAAGCGCACATGACCTACATAACCATCAACAATCAAAATGGATCTACGTGGAATTTTACTTAAATAAAGGTCACTGCCCCTTTGCTCCTGTTGAAACAACATTATTCTCTATCACCGCCTTTAAACATCATCTCATCACTTTGCTTTCATTTACCCAGCAGAGTCCAACCCTTCTTAGAACCACAGTTATATTTGTGCTGTGTGGAGTTTCCTCCGTTCCTGACTCAAAGCAGGTGGAGTCTGCATCGGTGTGGACTCTGAGTTGGCTTCATCACTCACCTCCAGTTAAAGCTAGTAGGTTTGGAGCGGTGCTTGATGTGGGTGTAGGGTTGGACCCGGGCCGATGTACATGAGCTGAAGCATTTCTTGCTCGACAAGAAGGCCCTTTTGTTACGTGCACCACATTCGTGTTACTGCTGTGTTTGTTTGGCGTGGACACATTTAGCAGCTTCGGGGACCGTTGGAGTCACATCCTGCTGTAAGATCTACCTCTTGTTCACATTTGTGCTCGTCCTTTCTCTCCCTCGGGTTCAGTCTGTGCAGACCTACACTGGGTCCCTGTTTGAATGAAAGCACTTTTCCAGTCAAACTGGGCTGGATTTGAGGCTGGCTTTGGCCCAGACAAGTCACCGCACGGCCCATAAGTGGAAGCCACACGAGGACGAGCCAGCCAAGCCTGGGCTCTGACGGAGTGCCTCAGAGCCAGGCTTATCCTCACCGCTGGAAAACATCCATCCTGATTCCAAATTCCTTCCTAAATTGTTTTTATTGCTTTCTGCCTGGAGGCGAATGTGACGGTAGGCATAATGAGGTCTAATGGGAGAAGGAGGGATAAGGACGGCTGCCTGTGCCCTTCATACCTCTCCTCCTCTCCTTTGAATGTCTCGTCTTCCTTAACTGCTGAATTTACCTGCAAAGGATCCCCATGTTCCAGTCTGTCGTGCTGTTTGCTTTTAATGTCTTCTTTCCAATCAGTGCTGGTCTTTGTATGCGTGCCTGTTTCACTTTGAAGTGTTATTCAGTCTTTAAGGTGTAATTGATGCTTTGGTTGTGTTTTGTCCTCTAATTGGTCACAGGTTTTAAAGATATATTACTGTGACTCAGAGGGTGGCTGCACTTTTTTGACTCCTGCATGGTGGGGACACTGAAAGGTGGCTCAGGATCAGCCGTGCTGTTTATTAGAGTGAATTAAAGACTCTCTACTGCCACCACTTTCTCTAATATTATCTGATATTTCTGGTACATGTTTTTGGCCGTTTCCTTCTATCCCCCTTCCTTTGTTTCCTTCCTGAGACTCATAGTACAAAGTAGTCAAAGATACAGAATATGTAGAAAAATAACAGAAACGGCACATGAAAGCAGACGTTTACTTTGAAGCAACTCAATTATAATTACAAAGACATCTAAGAAGGTCAACTTTATTCAGCTGAATGCAAATTAGCAGTCTGTCAGCTCCGACAGTCACCGTCTTTAATAGACTATTTCAAAGCAAATTTAGGTGGAATTCCTGCGAACGCCAAAGACAAAAATACCAAACGAGAAGCAAAACCACAGACAAAAGTCAACAGGCGCAGAAAGTCTTTGTTATGCAAATGTCCAACGATATCCTGTGATTTTTCTCCAAAGTCAAAAAATCAAATTGTGAGATCCTGAGCTGCTGATTACATTCAGTCCAAAGTTTCTTCCGCTCAAACCTGCAGGTATTTGAAGTTATAGTTCAAGTTTTTCTATTCATGTTCACTCTAACAAAAGACTGTTCATCACACCAGAAACCTGAATGCTGGCTTATTGGTTATATCAAACCATAATGACATCCATGTTAACTCTAACAGTGTTGGAGTTAACAATTTGAAAAGTGCACATCCAGAATTCTGCTTCTATAAAGTATACGATGTGCAGTCATACAGTACGGTTACTCTGTTTGATTAAAAATGCCTGAAGTAAAGTTGGTTGAACCTCCTCCAGGGTCGCCGCCTGCACCACAGGACCACTTCCTGTCTGGCTGGACGTCTTAGACTTCAAACTTCGACAAAGAGCAAATATCAACTCTTCCATCACTGCTGCCTCTCATGTTGAAATACTCTGCTGATGAGAGCTGGGTCTATACGTCAGTGACCAGAGAGCAGCCTTCATTGGATGATGTGTCCAAGCCTGAGAGCGGCGCATCAGGTGAGCACAATGACCTGGAGCAGCGGAGTCGTTTGGTTTTTTCCATCATCAGTCTCAACATCAAGAATTCAGCTCATGTTTTTCCGATAAACAATGCTGAGTTGTAAGATGTTAAATATTCACACTGGCACATATTAAAAACCACATTTTTCAGCCACACTAACACAGTCTTTGCTTACCACTCAGGTTGATTACAACCTGATTAAAGTCTCTTTGTCAACATTTTGGCGTCTCGTTTTTTGAAATATGGACTAATTGATGAGGGCAACTGGACTTCATCAATTAATAAACACAAGGCAGCACAGGAGTTCAGTTACTTTCACAAAGTTTTGAACACTATATTTGAATGGCTTTTAAAATGACATAAAGTAGGAGATATTTTACTTGGATCAGAGTTTAAAGTAGGCCTGTGAGGAACGTTGTGTGATGTAAAGAAATCTGAGGAAACATTGTTTTGGAAAAGGAGCTGGCGCCCAGCAGGGAGCACCCTGCTCTGCATCATACAGCTCATTCTTTGCCTCACATTTACTCTCATTGCACACAAGCACACTCCTCACCTCCTTCTCATCTGAAGCATCCTCTTCAGTCAGCGGGGCGTACAAGATCATGTACCCAGAAGCCCCAGCGACGGCCTTCCAGCGGACCCGCATAGTGCTGTGGGTAATATCAAACAACTCCAGGTTGTTCACCGTGGGCAGGGCCACTGTCGGACACAAGCACAGGGTTTGGATGACGGCGTTTCTTCCTTTGACACATTTACTTTTAAACAATAAGTGTAGCTGATTAAATCTTACCTAAAACAGTAATCTGGCACTTTTACACTAACCTTCGACTGTTTTGGGCCAGACAAGTCCTGAAAATTCACATTTCATAGAAAACTCGCTCTTTTCTAAAGTCTAAGGAATTCGTTATCCTATGGCTCTCCGGCAGCAATAGAAGTAAATTAGGTCTTGTAAGTTCATGCATGATTAAACAGAAATCCAAATCTTCTTTGATGTATTTTAAACAGTAATGCACAATGTCAGGGTTGTTAAAAACAGCAGTTATTCAGAGGTCATTGTCCTGCACGGCAATGAGCCAAACGAGCTTTAACTAGAAAAGAGACTAATGAGATTTACAACCAGGTCCTGAAGCTTTGGGCCGACGGCCGACGTGATGTAGTTTTGCCTCTGCAAACCACCACAGTGTATTTTAAGTCAAGCAGTTGATGTGATTGAAATGGAGGTCTGGTTTCATGAAATCGAATATATTTCAGAGAGTCAGACAGCACGAGTGAAGTCCTCACTTATTGCTTTGATAAATGTTCCACTTTTGTACCACACTCTGCTCAAACCCCCAAATCAATTAGTACCTAGCATCATGTTTAATTTGCTGCCTTAACCAGACAGTGCAGCAGGGCAGAAGTGGCAGCTTCCAGCAAACAGCCACAGCACATTAACTTTGCTACAAGGTCAACTTGTGACTTTGCATTCATCCTCGACCAACAGGGAGGAATCCCCTGTCATTCGTCAGCGAACGCCAGGTCGAGAAGGTCAGAGAATCCAGCCAGGCTCTGGCTCGGGGTACACATGTCAGCACGAGGCCTCAGGCAATACCACCAGAATTAGAGCTCGCCACAGGCATCCTGTCAGAGGAGGATCGGGCCACGAATAAATAATGAAACACCTGTGTAGCTTTTATGGCCCAAATTCACTGTTTTCCTTTGTAGTACAACACATGTCTGCTGCTCTATCACTGCTATTACGGATGCTGCAACTCAACAGTCATAAATTGGCTTCATTGGAATTGAGTGAAAAGACCAAAGGTGTGTTGTTCATCTCGGTCCTGTCAGTTTCTTCAAAGCAAAATTAAAGCAATAAATAAATGATTAAAAGCTCTGCAGGTTAACACTGAGTCTTTCTCTTCAGTGTGAGCAAGAACACATTTCTACTGCACAGAAGCAGAAATGGTTTGATGCAGAGAATTAACAGCACAATGAAAGATCCCAGGGGAAGACTGTCTTGGAGGTTTAAGACTGAGAGCGATAGTGAATAATAGAAGAGGTGCATGCTGGGAAAAATGAAGAGTTCAGATCCCTCATTTGGGACTTAATTCTTAAATGAGGCTCAAATGGACATTGTTCATTTGCCTCTGCAACATGTTGGTAAATCTTCATCGTGTGGTTTTCACAGTTCTTCAAACGGCCGCTTGAGACTCAATCCAAAAGTGAATCAATCGCTATCAAGCCAAGTTACAACAGAAATATGAAAAATTCATTCATTCATTAAAAATGTATTAATGAATTCATCTCGTCCCTGACCTGTGTTTGTGCTGGCGATGCCTTTTGGAGCTCTTTGAACAATTTGAAGTAGTCACGGTCACCAAACGTTCACCTGAATGTGAAACACCCTCAACCACTGGCGATGGCTCAGGCCTCTTAGTGGGAGGGAACCCGTCTGACTCAAAGGAACTGCAGTCGCTCTCAGACACATTCACCGGTTTTTGCAGGTAATCACATCTCGATCATAGATGCAAATAAACTGCTGACACATTACAGTCAGTCTCAGTCTGTAACGATGAGCTATGAGCGCAACTTCGCCACAAGATGTCACGTTGCAACTCAAGACTCGACTCAGCTGATTGCCAACTGGCTGCATTCTGCTTACACATCTTCATAAAAGCACGGCTGCCTAGTCCCTGCATCACTAAACTGTGTAACTGTTTGTAGACGAAATTCTGAATCCATCCATTCTCTTCTGCTTATCCTTCTCAGGGTCGCGGGGGGCGCTGGAGCCTATCCCAGCTGTCATAGGGCGAGAGGCGGGGTACACCCTGGACAGGTCGCCAGTCTGTCGCAGGGCCAACACACAGGGACAGACAACCATTCACACTCACATTCACACCTAATGGCAATTTGGATTATCCAATTAACCTATCCCCACAAGCTGCATGTCGTTGGACAGTGGGAGGAAGCCACGCAAACACGGGGAGAACATGCAAACTCCACACAGAAAGACCCGGCCTGATGGTGGAATTGAACTCAGGACCTTCTTGCTGTGAGGCAACAGTGCTAACCACAGATTGTTTCAAATCTGTGAGGTTCTGACAAAACTTTGTATAAAGAGTTAGTGTGGCTTTCTGTGTATGTAGGTAGTAACAGGTTTGTAATTTCACAAACATACTGCATTCATTTCCACTCAATACTGAACTAATGCATGAAAAAACTGACTATGACTGGTCGCAGACCTGGTCCCCAACTCAAAGGCAACAGGACTGCAAGGTGACTGCACCAGGTTTGCTAGCATTAGCAGAGAAGTCACTGTTAGCTTCAACATGTCTCAATGAAGACGCCAATATTGTTGCAATTGAGGCTTCAAAATGGGCCTTACAGACCATCAGATGCTGCATGGTGCTTACTACCATGTTTCCTGCTTCCATCTGTTTGAATGCGTAAACATATAAACTTACATGTAGTAGCACTTCCTCTCAGGGCTTCACTTGCGGCGCTGCGATAGACGGCAAAAACAGCCACCTGGTACTCTGTCAGAGAGTTCAGATAGCTCAGCTCCACGCTGTTCTGTGTCCCCTGGACCACCTAAAAACAGATCCCAGTGGGTCACAGCCTGGATATCACAGCAGTGTTATCAAGTGCAGTAAGTGTACAATGCTGGAATGAGATAAGCCAGTCAGTCAGACACACTAAACATGTATGTTTGCTTGTGATGCTCATTCATTTCTGCTGTGCTCTCAGGGACATAACTGTCTGATACAGCTGGGATTAAAATAATCTTAATTTGCTCTAAATTAGAGCTCTTCATGTCTTTGTAATAGACAGCAGAATTTTGTTTGTCAAAAAGCATTAAAATACAGAAAAAAATCTTCTGTTTATTAAGCGAGTGCATATCACAAGGTTGAAAAAAGCACCACATGTTGCTGCAGGCATTCAGCTCTCTCCAAAGAGATTTAAATTGAGTGTAACTAGATCAGATTAGCTTTGATGAAACCTCAGTTTTCCTTGTGGGGAAACTGGGCCGTTCCAGCTGCAAGTTGTAATAAACATCAAAGAGAAATGGGATAAAAATAAGAAGGAACTGCAGGAGCATAAATATAAACTTGGAAAATTACAGCACTGCATGTCTGCGTGGTGATATAGGTATGGAAACAAAGTTTGAATGTATTATCCGGACATTTCCGCACATGGGAAAACACCTACGTCACAGAATAAGTCAGTGGATGTCTGTAGTTAGGCACACTGATTAAAAAGACACATCAGTGCTCCAGTTTTTCACATCTTCCACAGCTAATGGCTAATAATGAAAATAACAGAATATAGTTTACCACAGCATACGAGAGTGCTCGCTTTTATTATTCCCTTACTGCAAATCCTGCATAATTGTTGGCATTTATCGTGCAGATCACTCTGAGAAATTACTTAACTTCTGGAAGTGACCCTTAAAAGGATTAGCCGAGCAGCTTTAATTAAAATGCTGCCACTACATCACAGACAGTTTGTATTTTATTTGCTCTGTGGAGGCGAATCAGGACCAAAGTTCCACTAATTAAGGGGACAAAAGAAAAGCGCTCCCTTCAGTCAGTTATAAGAAGCCAGAAAGCCAGATGAGCCGCCTAACAATCACACAGTAGTTTAGACTTTATTGCACAATTACAATAAAAGCAGGGCCGTTCGCTGTGGTGGAAAAACTATGATGGAAGCTGAAAATTAAAAGTGAAAAATAAAGAGAACTATTTGTAGTTTCTTGAAAATTGCATGATTTGCATTAATCGCCAAGAAAAAGTGTGTTTCTTTCAGGCATGAAAAACTCCAAAAATAAATGAAAATAATTAAAATAATAATGGACCAACAATAAAACAAGTAAAATACCTTTTCTTCTGGCTGCCCCCCACTGGCAGGGTAGTACACCACTCGGTATTTCTCCACCTGACCCGATGCGTGTGTCCATGTCACCCGGAAACTACGAGCAGTTATCTCCGAGGTCACGAGGTCACGAGGTGCAGCCACGACGGCTGGTGGCGGGGCAGGCTCCGCCCCCCCTGCAGATAATAAAGAAAGCAGAGATTTTTCTTCTATTACGTGTGAAACTCGGGTCAGACCAGCCTGCGAGAGCTGAAATGATCCTGTTGTGTGTGCAAAGTGACTCTGAAAGTAATAAACTGCAACATCTCTGCTGCTATCTGAAGCCACATCTGTGTTTATGCGGCACAACGTTGTGGGCATTTCATTACAAAGATAACAAGGCTGCAATATATTTGGTGGGGAAGTGGTCTTGTTATTTTTATAACCAACAGCATCAACAAAGCAACACCGATGCAAACAGCAGCATCTTCGCGGTATCATCTCCGACTCTGCTGATTCCTGCTGCTCTTCAGACCTTTGATCTTCTTGTCGAGCTGCTCCACGCGGTCGCAAACGGTCTTGGTGAGACCTTCCACGATGTCGCTCATCACGCTGAAGTCTGCCACGTTGTAAACGTGAGTTTCCTCTGGAGGTGAGGCAATCGCCTTCAGCTCATTCTCATCAGCATTTTTCACACCTGGAGGGAGAGGAGAGAGAAAACCGAGTGATCCGACTGTCAGCAACGGTGACATGAAAGGTGTTGGAAATAAGTTTTCCATGACGCAACCAGAACATGAATATATACACAGGACTTCATCTACAACAGCAAAACTATTCGCCAGGCTGTGACATGCGCTGTCTGCAACAGGGTTTCTTATTCCATCTCTAAACTTTCCCCCTGCTGAAACTACAAGCTAAAGCTGAAGGCTGACAAGAGCAACAGACTGAGTCCAAAGGTAGCATAGCATCAGGGGTAGTCCGAAATGAAATGCATTAAAAATATTTATAAGACAAGAAGCATCAGCATGAATCTAAGATGCTGCCTGCTGTTCTTGCCTCATGAATATCTGCAAATATCATTAAAGGTCTTTTATTCAATTTTTGTCAGTTAATTAATAACCTGCTATTTCAGCACAAACACAGAACGGCGGAAATGTTGAAATTAAGCTGTGACTGTGCTGAAGAAGAAAACAGAGTTCAGCCTAGAAAACTCCAAAGGAAAAACTGTGAATCTTTAAAGACATCAGCTGGTTTATATGAAGGAGAGCTCAGTGAACCAAAGGAGCTGCACCATTTCAACACATACAGACAGATGTATCATTGTGCTCTATGTTTGCCATCAACCAGCTGCACGTGTAGCAGAGCAACAGCCGAGCCCATGGTGTGTGGAGCATTTAGTGCTGTCATACCAATGGCAAACAGTTCTATCCCAGCATCCTTCAGGCTCTGCGCTGGGGGTATGACATCATCCTGGGACTTCCCATCCGTGATGAGGATTCCTATCTTGGGAACACCGGGTCTGGAGCCTGACTCGGGTTTGAAGCTGTTCTCCAGGACGAAGGTCAGAGCCAGACCTGGTCGGATTCAAACAAAGACAAAGCGAAAACATGAAGATGCTGAAATAAAAATAAGAAGAGGAGCCATTTGATCTGGAATCATCGCAGCCTCGGCCATCTACGATTTGTTTAAATACTCTAAAGTCTGGACTTAGATACTGAGTGCTGTGGAAATTTTGCTTCATTTATCAAATATTTTTTTGAAAACCAGATATTTTTTTCACACATTGAAATCTGAAGCAATATTCAAACATAAATATCTCAAAAACTATTAAACCAGGATCTGTAATTTGGGAACAAAAGTACTGGCTAGTTGAAATATAAAAAAAGACCCAAAGTCCCAAATTTGGGCACAAACCAGTAAAAAAAACAACAAAAACCTTGTAAATGTCACTTAGTGATATATAGCTGAATTTCACAGATTCCTATAGAAAACATGAACATTTTAGTCACAACAATGAAGAAAATGTTGTTTTCATTCAGCTTTCCTGCTGCGTGGAGCAAAGCTGACGAGTCAAAAACATTAAATGTAGGAAAACCATAAAAACATGGTTTACTTTTACTATAACATACTTCTGCATACATATTAAATCTATCATGAGTTGGATAAAGTGCGGGAGATTCGAGCCGTTTATCGTCTGCACTTTTAAAGCAACAGTTACGTCCTGGCTGACAGTTTGAGTGTACTTAAAGTTTCCCACTGAGGTGTAGCGAGGACAGATAAATGCCTCTGAGCCGAGACGTAGCCTCAAGAGTTGCAATCAAAGACTTGAAAATGATTGTTATAGAGCGCCTTATTAGCTCAACAAGGTTTTTGTCTAATGAGCTTGATAACATAATGAGCAGCTGAGTTCAGCTGTGTCCATTAACGACATTACAGACGTCTTCTTCAACTTCAAACAGACTGTTAAAGTCCTGCTGCTCCCTCGAGCGATAGATCAGTTTCATTAGCAACACAAGAAGTTCAATTACATTTTATTTAAAGAGGGTCAAATTACAACAGCCTGTCTCAAGGTGATCCATACTTCACGGTAAAGACCCTGCAATGATTCCCTATCAACAAAAACAAAACCACGAGGAGGGTCGGGGAGGGTGGACGTCTGTGATAAATCCCTGGGGTGAAACGGTTTTTCTTTTCCGATCCTGTTTGTACTCTCCAATCAGAATAACAGATAAAGTGAAGGCTTCACAGTGAGCTATCAGGACGCCTCCATAAGACTATATTACAATTTCAGTCTACAAGTGTCAGATGAGTGGGGGAGATTTTTAGGCCCAAACTGAGACTGAATGTTCCTATTTGTGAATATTCTGTCAGATAAAACAAAGCTGTCATAATTTTTTGGTTTTTTAATTTATGAGCAAAACAATAGTATTTACAACGTGACCGGAGGGCAGCCACACATGAAACCTTCCAGAGATTTCTAGGGTCAAACTCATAATTTAGAAATGTAACTGCACATCATCTGGATGGTGATGGAAATGCATCAGTCTTTGCTCAGAACTCCATAACTAAAGTTTGTGCACGAGGAAGACGCCCACTCAAGTCCAGTCAGTTTGCATTTAATGATATTGACTGTTTTGTGATGTTCACTAAGCCCGAGCAGGTCATCTCCATCCAATCCTGGCTCCTCCTGTCAGTGTGGCGCAGTAACACATGGGCGAGATGCTGAACCCTGAGTCAGCCTGTGTGGACGTACACGTGCTCAGGTATCGATAACAAAGTACCGTATGTTTTAATATGCCTGATGTTCACGAATCTTGGCCTTTCATTAATATAACCAATAAGATCTGCTCTGGGACTGAAAGTTTACCTCAGGCAGCTTTTGGACAGCTACTAGAAACTCAGCTTAATGCTGATTATTCTTTCGTCTTGAATCTTGTGGACAGCCGGGACCCTCTGCTTCATTAGTGATGCTTTCCACGTGGATTCATTTTTGTATAATTCAGTTTTTAGATTCTTTAATTTTCTGTTTCCCCTCTTCCCAGAACAACACGAAACAAATGAAAGTGCCTGTTGGTAGAGTTGATGGTTGTTTAGTCCAAGAACATCCTGATGAATTCCAGGATGAAGTCATACTTCTATGAAATGTTTCTCCTGCTGGTTTAAGTAACAAACACAAAAAGACTAATTTTATAACTATTATTCAAATAACAGCATGTGCTGCATTCCTGCTTTACCAATCTTGTCCTGAATATTGGTGAATGTCTTTATTTATTTCCTTCTACTGTCCGTTAAAAGTGATGCTGAAACTTTAGAAAGCTAGCCGACCTTCTGATTCACACTCAGCTCTTATCAGCCGAATGCGGCAAGGTCACCAACACTTGAAGACTAATCCAAAATGAGCTCCCCTCAGTTTAATAAGCTCGGGCAAAAGGACGGGCTTTGGTCCAAGTGCACCTCTGAGCATTATCTGTTCACTCTGATGGGGAGAGCAGACCATAATAACCAGTGGGAGGCTGGGGTTTCGCACCTGTCAGTGTGTTTCCTCCTTTATATGGCAGATTCTTCACAGCATCGATTACAGACTCTTTAGTGGTGTGAGCGTTCAGATGCCACTCGATCCTGGGGTCTCCACTGTACTGAGCCAGACCTGCGTGCAAAAGTAAGAGTGGAATTTAAACTACAATTAGGTAGTAATATTTAACAGTAACTTAATAACAGATTCCAGTCTGGCTCAGACTCCATCCTCCAAAGGGACTGAAATCTTCTCACCAATCCTAGTCTTGTCAATCTCCACTGAAAACGCCTTGACCAGGTTCTCCAGGAAGGTCCTGACCAGCCTGAAGTTGATCCGCCCGATACTCCAGGAACCGTCTACCAGGATCACGATGTCGGCTATGGCTGGAGTCTTACACATAAATCCCGCTTCAGCTTAAAATCACAAGAAGAAAACAGGAATTTAGAAAAGACTTTGAAAACAGGAAAACTCTGAACTTTGAAAAGCTAAATCAGCAGAGGAAGGTTTCCCGCCATGATGGTGGACCACAAAAACATTTAGCCTTCTGCCTAACATGTGACTGAGACTATAAACAGGATCCCAAACTTCCACGGCAGCCTACAGCACATACGTGATAAATCTGCACTGGTAAAAGTAGGACAGTTTGATGTGCAGCTTCTGTCCCAAAGTATTACAAAGTGTTTCATTAATTCTAATTCAGTTCAACACAGTATAATTAAACCCTAGAGGAGCGAGGCGCTTCGTTTTAGCAGATGAAAAATAACAGCCCCCTCTGTTGTTTGTCTCAACAGTTTACTGGGTGATAAAACAGACCTGACTCTAATGAGGAAACAGCAGTTCATTTACAAAAGCCAGTGCAGCACACAGTGAGCCAAAGGCCAAGCAAATTAGGAAACAGACATATTTCTGTCCACCAATTATCTTTCACACGGAGCTGAGGAAACCCGAGTTTGGGTCTCGATGGGAAATACTGCAATCGTTAAGGGTGCTGGGTTTGAATTCAAGAAGCCTCCAAACTGCTTCAAACCGGAGTTGAATATGGCACCTAAAACTCCCAGCAGATCCACTGGAAGAGGGTCGCTATACTGGGGAGTTTCCCAGTGGGAACATGTGTAGCTTCATCACCTCTCTGCAGCCCCTCATCCTCTGTTTGCTTTCAGCAGCCGCTCCTTTAAAGTCAACTTTCTACTGATTGGCTGTCGGTCACAAAGCATTTGAACAGCAGGTGGGTGTGGCTTCTATGCCTGAGATGATGTAATAAGGATGTCCCCTTCCACTGGCAGAATCAAGATCCAAGTTTGTTTCACACTTTTTCTTTAAAACTTTGTTTTCCATCCAGTGGCTGATGTTCAAAGAAAATCAGAGTATATAACTTTTGAAATTTAAGTGCTTCTTTTAATGATGACATTGCACTTCACAAAAATCCCATGCTAAATGTGAATGAAGACATCCCATCATGTTACAGTTCATGAGTAGTGTTACTGTGGGTTAGCAGCTGCTGTAAGATTAACTGCAGCTACTATTTACATGATGCATTCATACACTTACAGCAGGTTTCTATATTTTATTGGACAGTCAACAATATATTATAAGAAGATGATAACTGTCCAGTGTAAGAAAAAATAAACACGATGCACAGAAGAAAGGCTGTGAGGGACTTCAGAGACTGTTAGCTCCTCTTTATTTCCATATCCCTGCACTGCAGTTTTAACAGGCGTGTGCTCATGTACAGATAGAAACTGCTCAACCTACAGCCAACCGAACTCTGTCGCCTCGAGCTCACCCTGGCCAGCACTGATCAATACCAGGTAAACGAACAGGTGACTGCACCTGCATCTTAATGCCAACACACCCCTGAACCAACCGTCAATGCAGCGTAAACGAAGCAAGTAGATGAATCCAAATGTCTGCCCCACGGCGATGAATACCACGCCCACCACACTAGCTTGCTATTAGCAGCCGCTAACATCTCTGCATACACGTTTAACAGCAAGATATTTCACCATCAACTGTAAGTGGAATTATTACAAATTGGAAGAATTCAGGAAAAACAGCAGCTACAAACAAGCAGATCATTTAAAGCAACAGAGGAAGGTGTTTAAAAGTCTCCAAACACCATCTGGCATTGATATCAGCTGAATCACTGTGCACCAGGAGCTTCATGGCACGGGTCTCCTGTAGGTGTAATGTGTAGGTGCATTATAGTGCATTTCCCATGATTTGATGTTTTGAGGATAGTGCTGGAGATCTGTGTCTAAAGCATCAGTGGAAAAACTCATAAAAAGGTTTTCAGCTGGGTTGAGATGAGGTGACTGTGACGCTCCAAGCATACGATTCACATTCGTCTCATCAGGCTGTTCACCGAGCTCGGTGTGCTCTGGATAGAGGAGGCCGCTGTCATCAGGACACAAGTGCCTCTGCTCAAAGAAGCTTTCTATTAATTAGCAGTGAGCCTTTCAAAGTGGAGAAAGCACCATGCCCTCACATCATAAGAGGCCACCAGGTGACATCAGTGTAAGGGTCAGAGGTTCAGGTTTTCCCTTTAATTGAAACCAGGCTACAGATGGCCGTACGGTGCTGTGTTAAACTTTGATTTTGTGTTTCCATGTTTTAGCATTAGGAGAAATACGGAGTGTCATCCAAAAAGATTAAATGCAGAAGCATCCTTTGCCTCTGGGACACAGAGGCTCTCCCTTCTACGTTTAAAAGCTTAATTAAAAATACTGACATGCCCCTTGTGTCATTCTGAATGTGTACTGTGACGGGGATCGCTCACGGTGGCTTCATCACATGTAATTACCACCATCTGTGCAGCTCTGTGGAATGGCCTCTTTATATTTGCTCAGTTTTGTGGTGCATTTATTAAATGTTTTAGACTCAAAGGTTCAAGCACCATAAATCCACCGTGCGCTACCTGCCCGGCACCAACTGGCAAAAAAAGTTACAAATGGCTCAAGGATATTCACTGATGAGTGGCTTTTAATTTCTTCCTACTAGCAACAGGATTCAAGCAGACGTAAAACCCATCAGGAACCCTGGAGGGTCATTCGGTTTAAGGTTTAAAATGTGGAAACAAATGAAGCAAGCAGGGACCAGAGACAGGGTCATACTTGCCCAGCATGTTTTCCTTGAACAAATAAAGCTTATCAGTACACACTGACATACAAAAGCGCAGCCATGATGCATACCGATTATAAAAACAGAGCCTCGATGCTTCGCCCTAACAGTGGATTAAGTAGAATAACCATTTTACTCCCAGGAAGAAACACGAGCATTGATTTCAAGCATGAGCACAAATCTGACACATAGTTGGCTCAGTGCTGCTGCGTCTCTATACGTGAGATCTAACGTGTGTCGCTGATGCCCGTGGCACCCAATTACTTATCCTGCAGATGTAAAGGAGAATATTTCTTTCGGGTTATAACATGTCTCAAGAGGTGTATCGTTAAGTGTGTTTGGAGGAGGGCAAGGGCATTCTTCAGCAGTCATTTCATTCATCGCTGACAGGAACTAACTAAGGTATCACTTCTTACAAGTCTCTACAGTGTAGGAATTTAAGCCTCCTCCTCGGTCTTCCAGCCGAGTCTCGGAGCCGCTGTTCAGCGTGACTTCAGATGAAAGCAGTGACACATAAAACACACAATTACTCCGCGGCTCTGGAAAGACGAGCTGTGAGCCTGGCATCAGGTTTGTGTGGTGAGACAGAAACTGAAAGTCGTTTTTGGGTTGCTGTCTGCACCACACAAACATCTGAAAGTTTTGTCTGTATCAATGTGCTGTAGTCTTCTGGTCCAAACTATCATTTTGGAGGCTTAAAGACTTTTGACCTGTTTGTTTTTGCTCATGATTTAGACAAATAAAAGCAGCTGGAGGAAAGACTTACTTCAGATGGACGAAGCAGAAACTGAACACAGTGAATCCTCTCTTTGGTCCAGTTTTACTGCACCAAACGCTTTTGTACAAGCTGCTGTGATGCACATGGTCTCGCTTCATGTTGGTGTTGTGGCCACAAGTTTTACCGTGATACCGAGCGATTCATCCGTCATGCCTAAGGACCGGTTCACGACACATTTTAATGCACTGGGAAAGAAAGATTAGTCAGTGTGCAGAGTTGCTGTGGTGAAGCAGCCAAACCACCATCTCTTCCTGAATAAACAAAGCTTCCTGACATGAACCGCAGCCTCTGACAAACCTCAGGGTCACACTGCAGCATCCAACTTCTTCATTTTTCAAAAGTCATCAGCTGTTGTTGTCCAATACGTGTGTCAAGTGCTGAAAGCACGCGGTGCATGTGTGAGCACTGACGGCGACATCATTAACACGATTTGAGACAGAGGCTCAGGTTGCATCAGCTTCCTGTTCGTTTCTTTGAAGTCTCCCATTGTTTCTGATTCATGTTGAACTGAAGTGAAAGAGCAAATTGTTTCTGAGTCTAGATCGGTTCAAGTCACTAATAAAAGGACAAAAACTTAATCATATCATATTCAGCCAACAACAGTTTGACAAATGAAGAACCTTCAGCAGTCTTGGGCTGACCTGAGAAGACTACAGTTTTTATAAAGTGCTGTTTTAACTCTATAACACAAAGTAAATAAACAGATATTTTCTAGTTTGGAATGAACTATTTTGGTGTTATTTTTAGTTTGCCAGATTTGGCATTAAATGAAACGATACAGCTTGAAAAGACCGAACTAAACACAGAATCGTCTAAAGATGAAGGATTTGAACAGAATTAAAGATGGAAGAGGCGGATTCTTCTTAGTCAGCACAGGAAATGAAACAGAAGGGCAAACCAGTGCTTGGGGGCAGCAGGTGAAAGAACTACCTCTCTTTTAATAGCACGTCTGGGAACAGACTAGTGCCTGGACAGATGGCAGAAAGAGTACAAAAGACAAAGAAGAAGAAGAAGAACTGGGAAAAAAAGTGGCAGACGCGTATTAAAGGATGAAAGTACACAAGTGAGTCTGCTGCGAATACCAATGCTGTGTTTTTCTCTGCTTGATTTCCTAATGCCCCCCTTGGCATTTGTTTTCTTTTATTTCTTATTCTCTGTGAGTGCGCTGCACTGATTCTCCTCCAGCACTAATCATCAGCACTGCTCTGTTTTATTATGCTGTAATTGCAATGCACATCTATATTTTCACTTAATAACTACTGTGCACACACTAATCACACGAGAAGCAGCAAACAGGATAAAAGCAAACTGGATAATGTGAGAATACAAACAAAAAAATGAAGGTAAAGAGACACGCAGAGAGAAAAGAGGGCGGGGCCAACACACAGCAATGAGTGTAACAACACAAGCGACTGACATTTGTTATCACACAAAGGAAACACTGTTTGGTTTCACAGCACAAACTGCAAAGGAAGCACACAGACCGTTATCGTCACAGCTCCATTGAAGCGGACTGAC